CCTGAAACATTTTGCAATGAAAGAAAAGGAAACAAATGGAACAAGGTGTACAGCATAAAACCACACGTGTCTACTAAATGCATTCTGAGACAGAAAATGTAGTACCAACAGTTTTGCCAGGATGTGGGCACATTTGCTGAAGAATAGCAAACACATTAGCAGAGACAGAGAAAGGGAGAAGCAGACAGAGGGACAGAGAGAGAAACTAAGGGAGGACACTGCCCTGGCCAAAGATGACAATGGCCATCTAATTACTTACAAGTTTAATTGTTGACAAAAATTCCCTGGGAAACAGATGTGTCGTGATCAAATGTAAAGATGTTAGAACTGCATTTCCTGGTTCAAATCTCCACTCTACCTCTTATTAGTTCCGTGATCTTGAGCAAATAATCTCTCCAATACTCAGTTTCCCCATCTATAAGATGGGGATATGAATCAGACCTACATCACAGTTTTGCTTAAAGTATTAATCAAGTTCATTATGGATTTGATCAGGTCCAGAATACTTGGTCTGTCTCCTTCCTTCTTGTAAAATCACTAAAAAAAAATGATCATTGACTTTGTGGTCAGACAGATCCTGGCCGCTACATGTATGAGTCTCCTTTTAAGCACACAGCACCCCTAAGAGGTCGGGTGTCTGGTTAACCCCGTTGAACAGGTGAAGAAAGCAAAGCCCAGGCTGAGGCCCCAAGGTCGCAGGTCACACCCTTGGTCAATGACTGACCTGGGGCTCCAACCTGGGCTTGACCTTCAAGTTCCTAACCGCTGCTCAGCACGTGGGCCCTTGGCAGGGAAAATTCCCGAGGTGACACAAGGGCTTGCAGAGGCCACACCTCCCAGGCCGATAGGCACTCACGCCCTTTCCTTCCAGCCCAAGGCCACAAGCCCGGTCTTTGGCTCAAGTCCAGGATGCCCAGAGATGGGGATGGTGGAGGCAGCCCAACCAGAGGCAGGGGGTCAGTTCTGTAAGGCTGAGCCGGGAGGCCAGAGCCTAAGGCTGCAGAAGGGAGACCTGAAGGAGGACCACCTCTGGCCTCCTCAGCTGGTTGATGCTCTGCGGTTCATTAGGAGCAGGTCTCTGGAAGAAGGCCCAGAGGACAGATGCCACTGGTCTTTGAGATGAAGCAGAGGCTGCGACTGTCCCCAGCCTGGCAGAAAGAGCCACAGCTCTGGCCATTAGGAAGGAAACCACAGGCACAGTGGGGCCTGGCAGCTTTCCCCAGAGAGTCTCCCTGCTAACAAGTCTGAGTGCAAGGGACCCAGTTGAGCTTTCTCCTCCATCTGCCTCACCTTTTCAGTGAGGACCTGGGCTCAGGACTCCTAGAGAGACTAGATGTCACAAGTGCAAGTTGGGAGCCCCAGACCTATCCATCCAAATACCAGCGTGGGCTCTCTTGAGAATGCCGGGTCAGCATCTCAAATGCAACACATCCAACTCGAAGACCATGGTCTTCAATGGCTGCCAGTCCTCCCATCTCATGAAATGGCAGCTTCATCCACTCTGCTTCTCATGCCAGAAACCCTGAGTCATCCTTAAGCCTTGCATTCATTCATTCATTCATTCATTCACTCACTCATCCAGTGGTCTGTAAGCACCTCCTACGTGCTGGGCATGGTGCCTAAGCACCAACGCTGCCAGGGCTCACAAACATCCCACCAAAGACTATACAATGTCCCTTTCTCAACTTCTGGAATCTACTGAACTCTAGTTCCACCCTTTTCTACTTCCAAAGATGAGCTTGAATCCATCCATTTTCCCTCACTTTTACTTCTATCGCTTTCATTCAAGCCACTGTCACTTCCATGTAGACTGGAGCAAGTACTTCCTACCTTGCCTCCCTGAAGCCATTCTGGCTTCCTCCTTCACCTCTCACATGGAAGCACGAGGGATCTTTGAACATAAATCAGGTCAGTTCCTTTTCTTGCTCAAAGAATCTCAGCACCGTCTGACGCACTCCACCGTGGCCCCAGCCTCATCCCGCACGGTCTTCTATCTATCCCTGGAGCACTGTTTTGCTTCAGGGTCTTTGCTGTTCTGTTCCCTCTGCCTGGAATGCTCTTCCCTACACTCTTGGCTTGAGAAACTCCTACTCACCCTTCAGATGGCACCCCACTGCCACCCCCGCCCAGGGAAGCCTTCTCTTGGCTTCAGTCTAAGCTGGATCCCCAAATGATTTGCCGTCATAGCAAACATGACCCCTCACCCCTGTTGAATCGAACATGCCATTTGGTTTGTACGATTCTCTCACTGCCGCCCATCCTCGCTGCGCGGTGAGCCCCACGAAGGCAGGGGCCATGTCCGCCTCACTCATATTGTGCCCTCAAAGCAGGCACTCGATGAACACTGGGATAACAAACAAATGTGGATTTATCTAAGCCTTTGCTGTATACACCCTGGCGACTGTGACCCCCTCAGAGTGGGAGGAGGGTATCTCTCCCAGTCGCTTCCCCAGAATCACTTGTCAAGATGTCACTGGAAAACCAGATGTTGTGGATAAGCTCATGGCCGTGGGAGCTGAGTCTCAGCTTCGCCAACTCGCTGTCTGTGTGAGCTTGGGCACGTTTCTTAATGGCTCGCGGGCTCTGCCTGTGAATTCGGGCAGCTGTGCCAGCTCAACCTGGCCCGGGCTGTGACGCGCTCTGCACGTGTCTGCCGTGTACCAGTGGCTCCTGTCTGCCTTACAGTTAAGAGCAGCTGCCTCGCGGCAACGCATCTCCCAGCGTTTTGCTGTTTATGTGGATGGCTTCCCCTCCTTATCTCTCGGGTCACAGGACACCACACCTGTGGGCTGGGCTGTGCTGAGGTTCACGGTCTCAACTGACAGATAAGGAACCTGAGCCTCAGTGAGGTGAAATGATCCGCCCCTTGGCCCTGAACTTGGTTAAGAGGAAGAGCTGGGACCCATGCCAGGTGCGCTGGCTGTACCCACCCCTGCCAGACACATCCCGCTTGCCGGGTGCAGGATGAGTCCTCTCCCAGGAGAGGAGCTGGGTGCCCCCGCCCCGCCATCCTTCCTGCCAGCACTGTCTCCAGTCCCCTGCGCAGCTTCCCCAGTTGGCAGAATGGGTATCAGGTGGAGGGGTGAGGGTGGCAGGAATCTTACCTTCCTCTGGGGACAGAGTCCACCTGGCCTGGGTCCTGTCGGTGGTGTCCGAGGCAGAGGAGACAGAGGTGTCCGTGAGAAGGGAGGAACTGGGCTCCTCTGCCCTTGCAGCCTTGAGAGGACAGCGGTGGCCCTCCCTCCGGCACCGCCTGCTGTTGAGAGAGGCTCCTCACAGGTCAAACTCCAAATTCCAGCCTTGGCTGCAGCAGGGGTCAGAGGAGCCGTGAATGATCTCCCAGGGGCAGGGGAGAGGTCCTGGGGCCAGCCCCAGCCCCTTGAACTTGAACTTGAACTTGAACTCCATGCAGGCCCCCATGGGGAAGATGGCCTGACGTGAGCTCTGCCCACAGGGCCTCACCTCCTTTGGGTCCTCACCTGGTGGGGGGCCCATGGCCGGGAAGGGGAGGGGAGCCGCTGCAGCCCGGGGCACCGTCCTGCTCCCCTCACCCGCTCTGCCACTGGCCCGCCTCCACACTGGGGACAGGCAGGCTTGGGACGAGCCGGAGGAAGGGGGAGGGGAGATGCTGGCAGGGGAGGCAGGGGACAGAGGAGAAGTCCCAGGAGGGCACTTGCAGCAGCCCCACCGCTGCAGCCGCATAACAGTGACCACCTTTGTTCGGCTCCTTTCCTGTACGCTCTCCAGACCAAGGCAGGACAAAGACAGGCGCCTGCAGCCCAGAGGAGTTGTCAGGAGTGACCGAAGTCCGGCCCACAACACGAGGACAGGCAGTGGGGGACAGTGGAAGGCTTTTACTGGATACTCAGAGCATTCAAAATTAAAAAAAAGAGTTACTAGCATTTGCAAAATGAGAGATTTTGAACAACACTCTGGATTTCCCACTTTACTAGAAACTTCTGAGGGCCAGGCCAAACCAGGCCCACATGGCCACAGGGCAGCCGCTGCCTGGGGCAGGGTCGTGGCCAACCCGGCCCCCTACCACAGTCCTGACCTCCGGCCCACCTCTCCCCTGCCCTTGGCCTGCCTGGGCCCTGGGCGGGGGCAGCCCCTGGCGCAGAGCAGGTCAGGACGCATGGCGCTCTGGTCGAAAAGCTTCTGTGTCTCTGCTCGCTTGGTCTTTCCAACATGCCTCTAGGACAGATCCTATCAGTATCTCCATTTTACTGAGAGAGGGGTAAGAGAAGGGTGCGTAAGTTGCCCAAGTCACCAGCTGCGAGAGGCAGAACCAGGATGGGAACCCCCATTTCTGGCATTTCATCCCACAATGCTACGGGGGCAGTGGGGCGGCTCAGAGACACATCCCGCTGGACGGAGGGCGGCCTGGATGCGCAGAGACTTAGCAATTGGCCTGACACCAGCATGAACCAAGGCCTGCAGCTGGTGGCCAGCCTGGGGGGACCAATGTCCAGAAGGAACAGCTAGGATTGGAGGAGGTGGGCAGACAGAGCAGGGAAAGGACAGACAACTTGACCCTGTGATCTGCTGCCAGAGGATTCACCACCAGGAGGGCAGTGGGGGGCACATTGCTCCACCCACCTGAGGTCCAGCCCTGACTTCTTGGGGTCATATCTGGGGGACCACAGGGTCAAGGTGGCTACAGACAAAGCACGTGAATGAGACAGGCGGGCCAGGTGGGGCTGTGAAGAAGAGCTGAGCCGTGTCCCAGGTGAAGGGGACAGCCACAACTCACCTCCAACTGGGGAAACACAGGCCTGGTGGGGTCAGACCTTCCAATTGCTCTAGAAAGATGGGAAGTCCAGAAGTTTAGCTTCAGGACTATTAATCAGTAAGGGGGTGATTGTGGCCCACCCGCCACTGGTGTGTCACCTCCAACAGTCTCTCTGATTGCCAGGTGCTTTTTTTTAACCCTCTCTTGGTGCTGTAGAAAACAGGAGAGAAAGATGGGTCAGCCAGTTTGGAGAATGTTTTGGAAGATTCTTAGCAAGTCAACATACCCCTACCTTACAGCCCAGCATATTCCACGTGTAGGCATGTATCAAGAGAATTGAAAAACACATGTTCCACAAATACTTGTACCCAAATGTTCAGAGCAGCCCTGCTCACCATCGTCCCAAAGCTGAAATAGCCCGATGTCCGTCAGCAGATCAGCGGACAAACCGCGCCACCTGCATACTTCATGGAAAACCGCAGTTGTTTCCAGTAGGACTAACTCCTGACACGTAACGCCGTGCGTGAATGAATCCCAGAAACCTGCCAGACACAAGCAAGTCCACCCTCTATGATTCGATTTATATGAAGTTCAAGAACAGGAAAGATGAATCTATGGTGACGGAAGTCAGAGCGTGGGAGGTAAGAACTGACCAGAGCACTTTCTGGGGAGTTAATAGATTCCCATACCCTAAGCGGGGAGGTGATTACACGGGCACATACCATTGTTCAGACCCGTTGGACTGGATGAGATTTGTGCATTGCCTTTTACGCAAATGATACCTGAAAGAAATAGGGCAGGAGGTGCAGTCAGTGAGTTTAGCAGATGCAGGTCTTGCTTCTCTGGTGGTGAAGGCCGCGGCCCTTACTCAGATCTTACTCCCGGGAGTCAGGGCCAGCCCACCACCTCCACATGGGAATGTAGGTCTCACGGTGCCAAAGCACCGGATTTCCCAAGAGAAATCCCAAAGTCTGGACTTTTATATGAACGCTCCTGATTTATAGGGATTGGCAAGTAATTTGGAATTAACTAAAAACAGCTAAAACGCTGCACAGCCAGCCTTCTGTATCCACAGACTCTGCATCCTGAGATTCGACTACCCATGGATCGGAAGTATTCAGGGAAAAAAAAAAAAGATCTGGAAAGTTTCAAAAAGCAAAACTAGAATTTGCCACGTGCCAGCAACTATTTAAGTAGCATTTACCTTGTAATAGGCAGAATAAGGAATCTAAAGATGATTTAAAGGATGTGGGAGGATGTGACGTGTGTGGGTTACGTACAGACACTATGCCCTTTTATATAAGGGACCACAGCATCCTCAAATTTTGGTAACCACGGGGAGGTCCTGCAACAAACCATCTCCAGATACCGAGGGACGACTCGGTATATATCAAGCAATGCACATAGCATTCAGTTTGTGACCCTGTGTGATATTGTGACTTATAGTAAGAAATACATACTTGGTCTTTGTCCGCATTTCTGGCACAGCTCTCCTAAAACTTTTGGAATTTTCTAGTGACCAGAGCGAGCAAGGTGTCTTTTGTTGGTGAGATGACTTCCGGACCTCATCTATGTTTGGGGGCTGGTTGCCAAGGGAACTAGCCAGGTGATTAGAGGGTTGGGGTTTTTTTGGTACCCACCCCCACCACCCCGACCACCTGGAGCAGGAGAGGGGCTGGCGGTTGAATCAACTGCCAATGGCCTGTGATCTAATCAGTCATGACTATATAATCAAAACCCAAAAGGATGGGATTCTGAGAGCCTCTGGGTTGATGAACACGTGGAGGTTTGGGGAGAGGAGTGTGCTCAGAGAGCGTGGAAGCTCCACACCCTTTCCCCAGGCCCTGCCCTGTGAGTCTACCAGGCTGTTCCTGAGTTATATCATTTTGTAACAGACTGGTTATCTAGTCAGCAAAATGTTTCTCTGAGTTCCCTGAGCGTCTCTAGCAAACTGATCAAACCTGAAGAGGGAGAGCCTTTGGAAACTCCGATCTAGAGCGGGTGAGTCAGAAGCCCACGGCAACCTGGATTGGCGACTGGTGTCTGAAATGGTGGGGGGTGTCTTGGAGAACTGAGCCCTTAACCTGTGGGACGTGAAGCTGCCTCCAGGGAGACAGAGTCACAACTGAGCTGAATCGTCAGAGCATTACTTGGTGGCCGGGGGACAGGGGGCTGGATGGGGGAACCCACACGTTGGTATTGGTCCCAGAATCTTACCCTGTATCCCCAGGTCACACGCCCTGCTCGTCTGGAATCCAGGCTGAGCTCTACATAAGGTCACGATTCCTTCCTGTATTTTCTACAGCTTTTTAGAAACACATCTTCACCCCTTCACACACACACTGTCCTCCAATGTTGCTATTTATAGTAACAACTGAGAAGAGCAAACCCTAAACACCCTGAAATCGGTAAGCTTTCCTGGCCAGCAGGCAAGGGTGATGCAGGGAGCCCAGCTCGAGGGTTAAACGAGATATATTCTTTTGACTTAGTAACCGTGAGGCCTGGGGTGAGTCACCCAGCCCATCTGAATCTTCAGCGTCCACAGGTGCCAACAGGTGTTTGCAATGCCTGCTCCACAGGGGCTGAAACGAGGATAAAATGAGATGCCACAGGGACGCACCTGTGTCTCGGTAGAAGGTTCTGGGTCCATGCTGGCTCCTTCCCTCTCCCCGGACCTAACCCCAGTTAACCTCGGGCTGCCGGCCTTCTGTTGAGTTGCCACTGAGAACGTCAAGGCTTACTCCTTCTCCTTCTGATGGCTTCACCCAGGAAACACTGTGCCCCCAACCCTCCCCCGTTCCCCACTCCGAGAGGCACGTTTCTCACAAACCTGGGTGGCCTTTCATCCCCACGGGCTGCAGGAGTGTTCTGGTGAAGAGGCCACCGATGGGGCCACACCCCGGCCCTCCTCCTGGCTCCTCTGCTCCTACCTGCGTGACCTCGTGGAAATCTACCTGAATCCAGATTTTCTCCTCTGAAAAAGGAGATGTCATAATAACAGGACCGAGCCATTTTATCAGAAAGACTGGAGATTAATCCGTATAACATTCTTCGTAATACTAAGGTGTCATTTTTCTTTCTTCTCTCATTATTTCATGAATGTCCAGTGGCATCACTGGAAAGCTACAGGGCATGAGGCATCGCGACAGGCTGAATGCAGAAGCAGGTGTCAATAACCGGCTCTCTCCTGTGAAACCAGCCATCAAAGAGCTTTACAAACATGTAAAACAATGCCACTCTTCTCATTCGATCTTTTGGGGAAAATGTGGCTGTTTTTCATAAAAAATGTTATTTACTTAACATGCAATGGGGTTGTTTTGTTCTTTTAAAATTAATTGATATTGTAAATGGTTTCTTCACTTAAACGTCCAATTCGGTCAATATCTCTGTATCGATAATCCACATAAATGAAATGACGGGGTCC